ATGACTATCACTCCTTAAACCCTCCAGCGAATGGGTAGGTCTTTGTTAGAGGACAATCTTGGAAATTAGGATTTGACTGCATAAGTACACGATGTCCCGAAGACAAATAATTCTCTTATTATATCAATAGATTTACTACACAAGTTGAAACAGCTTGAGCATTCTCATGTGCAACACAGAACCCCGCCCAGCCATGTGTAACCATGTGGAAAAACAACTTAAGACTAACACAAACAATTGCTAAATTTCAACAAAAAGTTACTGAAACACATTTAAGTAACACAAATTAATATAAAACCTATTTCAGAAATACCATGTGACCATAAACAGCTGTACAAACACTTCAAATGAGGGAAAATTGCCACAATATGATGCAAAACCACAATACAACAATACAAATCAAACACACAAAGAGGTAAAAAGATGAATGTTACACACTATGGAAATAGAGTAAACAAATGGCATTGTTCTCAGTTCCCAGAAACCTGTAGCCTTTATTGACGGATGATTATCCATAAAGATGAACGCCAGGTAAAGATGTCGTTAAGCTTCCGGTTCCTCTCTTATTGTTTCAAAATTAAAACGAACACAACTGTTTGTTTTGAAGCTTAAATTAAACCAAACATACCTCATTTAACACATTTGAGCTCAGACACTCTTTTAATACCTGCTTATTCTAGAGTGTGCTCGGTTTTTGCCGTGAACACCCCCCCCAAAAAAACATCAAAGGAATGTAGCATTTGAAAACCGGAAGTGTTTTTCCTTTGAAGTGGCGGTGATCTGCTAGCTTGGTGCTACCGGGCAGAAAAAACGCCCTCCCCCGCGCTCAGCATCAGTCAGGGAAGGAAAACCAGCCACGGAGGGACAGGACATCGGCGATAAGTTTTTTTAAATGATATTTCTGAGTCGAAAATGAAGGATTCTAGCAGTTTCCGGTCGGGAGTGGGCAGGAACCCGTTCGCCCACGAGCTGAAATTCACCACGGCGGAAAAAGTAAAGGTGAGACGATTTTAAACCAACCCTAACCCCACTCAGGTGGAGGAACTGACGGTTGTACAGTGGGGGAAATAATTATTTGACCCCTTGCTGATTTTGCAGGTTTGCCCACTTACAAAGAATGCTTATTTTTCCTCATCAGATGGTTATCAATTTTTATAAATTCATATGATGTGAAGAGAAAAGTCAGATAAAGTCTAGATGTGTTTCAGTTATTGGTGTGAAACTGTGGAATGGATTGAATGATGAATTTAATTTATGTCCTTTGTTGGTGAACTTTAAAAGAGCTTTAAAATGTAAAATGATAAAATCTTACGCTGTTATGTAGATCTATATATGTACTATGTACTTGAATCTGAATTTGAAGAAATCCTGGTAGGTAAGGTTGTAAGGTAAAAAAATAGGGTAGGCAAGAATAAGCTTTGCTTTGGCCTATTCCTTTTTTGGTAAACTGTGGGTTTGTCTATTGTTCTTTTTTCTTTTTTTCTTTTGTTGTTTCTTGTGTTTAATTTGGACAATTTACCAAAATAAAGTGATTGATTGATTGATTCTGGAATTTTCTTTGGGATTCTGTCTTTCACTGTTCGAATGTTCATATGATTAAAGTTATAGATCGTTGCATTCTTTGTAAGTGGGCAAACCTGCAAAATCAGCAAGGGGTCAAATACTTATTTCCCCCACTGTATGTGGGTTCTGGTGAACAGAGAAGTAACCGCGTATAAACAGGACCTGGTTGGGGAACAGGTAAAAGGTCTACTTCCTCTGTGTGAGGCTTTTTTTGTATTCAGCCTTGAATGGGGTGAATACCTGAGAGTGAACACTGACTAGTCACCATTTTTCTTTTCCCTTTTCCCACCTCACCTGTTCTGTGTCTCTGTTGTGGAAGAGTCTTTTCACGGTCAAACACCTGAATATATTTCTGACATGTTTGAGACAAATGAACCAGCTCAGACTCTGAGAACCAGGTTCAGGTCTCCTGATGGGGCCCAGAGTCAGAACTAAACCAGGTTCTGGTCTCCCGATGGGGCCCAGAGTCAGAACTAAACCAGGTTCTGGTCTCCCGATGGGGCCCAGAGTCAGAACTAAACCAGGTTCAGGTCTCCTGATGGGATCCAGAGTCAGAACTAAACCAGGTTCTGGTC